ACCTTCAGGCAATACTACTAGATCCCAGACTTCATTGTATTCCATTGATTTTATTCTTCTTTCATGGCGTCTAACCACTTTGCATAATTATCACTTTGAAGGGCTTGTGAAAACAAAATTGGATATGCTTCCATTCCCAAGTCAAATTTTGACTCTTGAAGATAAACCACATAATCATTAATAATGGCAGATCTCCTTTATCTTTGAGATCTTCTTAATGTCACGTCTTGTGGTTCATTTACTACTTCATGTGGCTCATTCATGGTGGTCAACCTACTCATTAATGTCCCAGTACGGGGACTTGTCAACGGCCTCAAACTAAGAAGCTTATTTGGCTAATCTCATAAATTCCCTAGCATATTCTGTGGTAGGAAATGAAGTCTTAAGTTCGCTTGTCACTATCATCCGTAAAAACTTCAAGCTCAATATATTCGATCTCTCCCATTCTTTGTGGAAAGACCTCTCATCATCAGTGTTGTTATCAGTGAGATCAGTTGGGTTCTCTGTCATGAATGCAAGGTCGAGATTTTGAACAACCAAATAATATTCAACTTGCTCACTCCACTCATTATAATTTAACCCATTAAACTTAACAACAAATGAGGCAAGAAGAGCAGATGCTGCAAAAACAAAATTATGCTTACACATTAATGTTTTGAGTTTTATACCTAATACATTATTTTAGATTCAGATATTAAAATTTATTATTATTAAAACATAAATGTATATTTAAAATCTCCTTTGGGAGATACAACAATATACAATAGTTAAACTTAATTGATGCAATTTTCTTAATTGGTAATCAAATGTACTTTTATTAGACATGTTTGTTATCTTTGGATATACTAAACACACCTAATCAAGTACATTAATTAACCACAGTTATGTTCATAATTATAGAATTAACTAATCTGCCTTTGGGTGATCCTTAACTATCCTATAATTTATGAACTTTAAATTACTCGTGTCAAATACATCATGTCATCTCACTAAAGCACCTAACGATCATGAGTAATTGAATCTAACTTAGTTTGATATCTATGGGATAATCATTCTAATTTGGTCACTTTGGTGATGAACAAATTATATGTAATATAGTTATCAAAATTAGATAATAACTATAATTATATTCTAAGTGGACATTCTATCTTTCTTTAAAGAAAATTATACTTTAGGAACCTATACACATCCTTCACACGCCTACAAGTGCGCCGAGGTCAAAATTTTGGCTGTTGACCATTAACTTTGATCGTTACCGTTAACTTTTGGTTGTTGACCGTTAACTTTGATTGTTGACTGATTAAGTCAACGGTCTGAACCGGTTTGACCCGTTGACCGATCTGAATCGCTGACTAGACCGATTCATTATATCAGACCCTAACCGGATTTGTTGACCCCATTTGACCGGATTAGGTTGACCCGTTTTGACTAAATGGGTTGGGCTTCTTTATGAGTTATGGGTTGGGCTTCTTTATGGGTTTGGGTTTGAATTTTCTTAATGGGTTTGTATCTCTATTTTAAAACCCGGACCAGACCGGCCGGTCCAACTAGTTCGACCGGGAGCTGGCCTTTACTTCGGTCCGAGTTAACATAAAACCGAAAATGTTATTAAACCCGTTTTGGACCGGTAATGGACCGGCGGAACAGTACAAAACCGTCGGTCCGACCGGCCCGGGCCTTAAAACTATTTGCTATTTTTGGGTATCTAATCCAAAAAAATTCATATTCCTAATTCCTAAACCAATTTGCAACACCGTTTCATTCTCCATTTCATTTGAATAAAAAAACCAAATTGTGTTTTCCATTTTCATCTTCAATTCTTCTTCACTTACTCTAAAATCTACTAGTAAAGAAGAAGAAGTAAGATGAGGGGAAGGAAGAAGAAAGAGAAGAGGAGACAAGAGAAAGAGTAAGGAAGAAGATTAGAAGAAAGAAAAGAGGAGATGAAGAGAAAGAGAAGGAAGAAGAAAGAAAAGAGGAGAGAAAAATTACAATAGAGGAAGAAGAAAGAGACAAGGAGTGATGGGGAGAGAGAGAGAAAAAAGGAGAAACAAGAAAGTGATGGGGAGAGAGAAAAAAGGAGAAAGATGGAAGTGATGGGGAGAGAGAAAAAATAATTAATAATAAAATCTGAGGGTGCATTTGCTTTATTTTAAACTTATAGTGGTTTATAGGTAAATTTTAGGGATGTATTTGCTGGTTTTCAAACTTATAACAATTCATGGAATTGTTTAAAGATGTGATTGCTATATACCGGTTGGACCGGTCAACCCATGAGCCGGCCCCTTGATCGGGTCAACGAACGGTCCGGTTTTTAAAACAATGGTTTGTATTTGAATTGGGCTCACTTAATAAATAGGCGTGGGCTTCTTTTATTTGGGTTTATATAAACTAAAACAAGTAGGCTTTAAAAATAGGCTGAATCAATTGAAAGAATAGTTTTATTATATGGGTCAAAATATTTGACCTGAATTTCTGGAAAAATTTTTGAAATTTTATTGGAAGACGTGTCAAGAAAATCACGTTTCAGTATAAGAAAAATTTGATTACGGCCAACTTTCCAGCCACTTAAGAGATTTACAAACCCAATCTAATTTGACAGCCTTCTTATTTGTCAATTTCCAAACCCAATTCAATTTCTTTATACCATAAGAACCCTAATATATAAAAAATCAATTTAATGGAAAATACATCAGTTTCTAAACATAGATTTGCTCTGATACCACATGTAAAACATAATAGCAAATAATCAATAATATAATCATATTTCTATACCCTAAATTGCATGAACATAAATTCCAATATCTGAAACTTAACGAATTTTCACTATTTATTAAAGAAATAATACATACCTAACTCCATGATTAAATTTTTTGATGATGTGAAAGAAGGCAGTGTATTTCTCCCTTTATTTCCTTTCTATCAATTTCTTTTGATGGATAAAGAAAACTCACGTAAGAAATAATGAGTAATAGAGAAAAAAGACCCCTTTTATATAGCAGTTTTATTAACAGTCAAACTGCGGTTATTTCATTAATTACAGTAACCTCTTTATTAAATGTAAATGACCATCATACCCGTTAGCCAATTTAATTATTTCAAACTAACCACGAAGCCCCTCTGACGCAACATGCATATCTTCGTTTTGCGATCCTTAACTGCTGCCTCAATCATCTCCTTCTGCTCTACGTTTTCAAGCATTTCCATCTGTGTGTCAAGAGTTTCTTTTTATGCTGACCCAATTGTCTCTAGACCATGTTGTCTAATCATACTAACCTCTCCAATCCCGTCTACAATAACAATATCTGGATTAGCCGATGCTTTACTTATGATTTGACTTACATTCAGCAGCTCTGGAACCTTATGTGAATTAATATATTTCTAACAGAAGTATGTTACACAGTTGGATAAATATATTGAGATTTGACTTGTAAAGCATGTGTCCATTTTCACGAGAAGAAACACGATTGTTTGAAGCCGAGTCGCCGACAACAAAGTAGCAGTAGCTTTACACGATATTAGATTGCCAAGACCCTTCTATAACGTTGTTGGGGATCCAGGGAAGAATCGCAGGGCCCCTTGGGAGTACTACAGTGCACTTTGCTTTCTCCCAAAATAATGGCACTGAAAAAGGGTTTTTAACTGGATGTGCTTTTCTTTTCCCTAGCCATCTTGCTGGTTTACTGGCTCAAAGGAGAAGCTCTCTCACCTCGATCCACAGCGAAGGCAAATTCTCCTGAGAGATTAAAAAATGGTGTTTGAAATTGAACTCAATAGAAAAAATAGATGATGGGATTAAAAAAAAATGTAAGAAAATATTAGAGGGCTAATTTAGGAACTAAATATAAAATATTTATAAATTAAGTTTTTAAAATGATTTTAATTATTTTTGGAGTTTAGAAAAACATTGAGTTGAATTTAAACAACATTACTTTAAAAAAAAAAAAAAAAAGGTTGACTAAGGGCATCCAAATGAGCATACATAAAACACTCGGGCCCTTGAAATGATGGACCCTGATAATGCAGGCCCAATTTAGTAGTATCTCATCAGCCATACCCACAAAAGCTTGTGCCTTGAGCCTCCACCATTACATGTTTCATGTCACAGCTACGTCCTACACACTAAAACTCTGAAAGTAATTTGAACGATTCAAAACTCAAGAAACCATTCCTCTTGTACGCTTTCGATACGTGTTTACTTGTTCTGTCAGCGGCTTCTACAAACACGTAACTTGTACAAGGCTTTGCTCTAATAACATTCTACCCCTTTAACAAATTCCGAAGCAAATTAAAGCCGAGCCCCCCCTTGGTCAACCAGGACCTGTCGCAGCTTGCTTAAGTTTCAAGTTCCACTCCGGTCAGACAAAGCTCCTTCTGATCGAACTGGAGTAGCTAGCTCAGGATCTTTATTTTGCCAGGATATTTTAATCTTTTAATTCAAGCTCATCTTAGTTTTGCTAGATATTGTCATTCCATATTTATCACGTTTTGCAGCTTGGGACTTGGACGGCTCTGGTTACGTTTGAATCAATCTTTGGTAAACATTAATGTTATTTTCTTTTGAGAAACTCTTCAATTTGTATAGGATTCGAGGCAGACCAGTGAATTTTTCAGGTTTTTTATTGTCAGTGGATGGCATTAGAGCCAACCCGCTGCTTAGCGTGATGAGAATTTACTTTGACATATTCCAAGATATTAATTAATTAATCATGAATGATATATCTACTGTAAATTCCGTAACAGAATAACTTTAGTCAACGAAATATACTTCTATATAAGTTCCATAACAGAATGATTGAGCCATTTCTAACGCAATCATGTCCAAATCCAAAATATCTCATCTTGTCAATTCTAGTAATACAATCTCAACATCTTGGCTTCTTGTCCTTGTACTCATCTCCTCATGTTTTTCCACCCTTTCCTATGGAGCTGAAGCTACTAATAATTATAAACTTTTAAACATTGGTGTTATCATTGATGTCGATTCCCATTTTGGGAAAGAAGAAAAAGTGGCCATGGAACTAGCAGCTCAAAGTTTTAACACCACCTCACAAAGTTACAAGCTATTCCTTCATTTCCGGAACCCTGGAAGAGATCCCCTCCAAACTGTTTCAGCAGGTAATAAGCTCACTCTATTGCATTTCTAATTTTATTACCGAGTATTCGTAAAATTTTTACCAATGGAAGTCCATGAACTTTGGTTGCAGCTGAAAAGCTGATTATTGAAAAGGAAGTTGCAGTGATTATTGGCATGGAGACATGGGGACAAACAGCTCTAGTTGCTGAAATTGGAAACCGAGCTCAAGTTCCCATTGTTTCATTTGCAGAACCTGCCATAACTCCACCACTAACACCAACTCGTTGGCCTTTCTTAGTAACAATGGTTAACAATAGAGCTGAACAGATAAGATGCACTGCAGCTCTGGTTGGTTCCTATAATTGGAGAAGGGTTATTGTGATTTATGAAGATGATTCAATCGGTGGAGATACTGGGGACTTGGCTCTTTTGTCAGAGGTTCTTCAAAATATTGGTTCAGAGATTGAGCACCGATTGGTTCTTCCATCATTTTCTCATTTGTCTAATCCAAAAGAATTTGTACAAGGAGAGCTGGAGAAACTTCTTATTAGAACACAATCTCGGGTTTTTATTGTTCTTCAATCATCAACACCTATGACAATTCACCTTTTTAGACAAGCAAGAAAGATAGGACTTGTGGGGAAAGACACTGTTTGGATTATTACAGAAACTATCACAAGTTTGCTTGACTCATTCAACACTTCTGTTATCTCCTCTATGGAAGGTGTTCTCGGAATCGAGACCTACTTTTCTGAATATACTACTTCTTACAGGGACTTTAAAACTAAATTCAGAACAAAATTTCGATCCGAGTATCCTGAGGATGATGACTCTGACCCTGGAATTTATGCCTTAAGGGCTTATGATAGCATTAAAACAGTTATACAAGGCTTGGATAAAATTACTAGTGACAATAACAGTTTGCTAGAAAATCTATTATCAACCAATTTCACGGGCTTAAGTGGCCAAATAAGTTTCGCAGAAAGAAAGCTCTTGCAAACTTCAACATTAAGAATCATAAACGTGGTTGGCAAGAAATACAACGAGCTAGACTACTTTTGGCTGCCTGAGTTTGGATTCTCAAAGGACCTTGTAATAGAAAAGGGAAGCAAAGTTGTTGACATCAGTGAAGAAATGGATGGTGCAGTGATTTGGCCTGGGGATTTAAACCGAAATCCAAAAGGTTGGGCTATGCCCACTGACGCAAAGCCTTTGAAAATTGGAGTTCCGGGTAGAACTGCATTCGATAAATTTGTCAGCGTTAAATTCAATAGCAATCCGCAGGAGAATAAATATGATGGTTTTTGCATTCAACTTTTCTATGAAATACTGAATGTTTTGGACTATGCTCTACCTTACGAATTTATTCCCTACAACGGCACCTACGATGATCTGGTTTATCATGTCTATAACAAGGTAAAGACTTTCTCTCTTATTTCTGGAAATAATTTTTCAGTTCATGATTATAATCTATAATTCAATTCTTTAATAACAAGTTGATTGATGATTTATCACCTTTCAATTTTTCAAAACTACTGTTTCTCATACAATGTTTGTTGTCTATGCATGAAATGGAAGACATATGATGCTATTGTGGGCGATGTAACAATACTAGCCAACAGAACAAAACTTGTGGAATTTACTCAGCCCTACTCAGAGTCAGGCTTGTCCATGATAGTTCCAGTTAAGACCGAAGAATCAGCATGGATGTTCCTGAAGCCTTTTACCTGGGAAATGTGGACGGTAACCGGAGCCATCTTGTTCTACACAATGCTGGTAATCTGGTTCTTGGAGCATCAACAAAATCCAGAATTCGGTGGCCCATGGAGAAATCAGATTGCCACAGCTCTTTGGTTCATTTTCTCTTCTCTTTTCTTCGCTCACAGTAAGTATCTTCAAGCAAATATTGGTTTAATTTTGAGTTGAAGTAGCAATAAGGCAATTAATCTCTTCGTTTCATGTTTCAGGTGAGAGAGTCTCTAGCAACCTCACTCGATTGGTGGTTATAGTGTGGCTATTTGTGGTGCTAATCTTAAACTCAAGCTACACAGCTAGTCTTTCTTCAATGCTCACTGTGCGAAGACTGAAACCGAATGTGACAGACATTGAGTGGCTTAAGAGAACCAATGCGAAAGTAGGTTGTGACCCAGATTCGTTTGTGATGAAATACCTGGAGAATGTGCTTGAATTCAAACCAGAGAACATCTTGACAGTTGACCGCGAATACAAATATCAAGAGGAACTCAAAAGCAACGTCATAGCTGCTGCCTTTCTTGAAATCCCGTATGCGAAAGTTTTTACATCAGAGTACTGCAACCAATTCTCCGCCATCACACCCTCCTACAGATTTGGAGGGCTAGGCTTTGTGAGTAATAAATTATACAATTTTTATTGAGGATTTTCTATTTCATTAAGAATCATCTCAGTTTATTTTGTTTTGTTTCAGGTTTTCCCGAGAGGGTCTCCAATAGCAGCCGATTTTTCTGAAGCAATCCTAAAGATATCAGAGAACGGAGTTCTCAAGTCTTTAGAGGAAAAGTGTTTTGCCCCCTCAGCTGGCTGCTCAACAAACGTAACCAACAATGATTTAACTGAAAGCCTGAGCCTCCACAGCTTTTCAGGTCTCTACCTGATATCTGGATTCATTTCCACCATCTGTGCTCTACTATTTCTGGTTAAATTACTAACGAATTATAGAAAAAACCAAGTTGCAACTCAAGGAAATACAACTGCAAGTAATAGAAGCTTTTGGAGCAAGGCCATAGGACTTGGAAAGTACGTACTTGATAGAAAGGAAAGAATAATTATCCAGCTTCAACTTGTGCGCGAACAGCTGATGAACGGAGGAACTCTTCGAGATGGAAGTATGTAAATCCATCTGATACTTCAGATAATCAGCAGGAATCCATTGAAGCTGACAGGGAAATGCAGTATATCCCAGGTTGTAGCTGAGACCAAGATTCATGTGTTTATGATTGTCCTAAATGTTTATAAATAATAATTAATTCTTTAAATTCATTTGTAAACTATAGAAGTTAATTGTTCGAACCATTCAATTTGATATAAGGTCAAGTGTATGTATCTCAAAATTACTGTTGATTCTTTTCTATGCACAGAATACTGATAATAATTGTATCAATACATATTATAAAATCTAACCCTGTTCTTGCTGGCCTATTGATTGATTTAATGTTTCCAAGTCTTCGTAGTTCTTGCGTATAAAAGCAACCCAGAATCCAAATTTTGTTTTTTGAAATTACATTAAGACCAGCTATTGGCCCAATCGAGGAAAGGCAGTCGGATCTACAAAAAAAGTTTATAGTGGAGAAGAATGAGATAACAAAAAACATATTCTTGAATCTTGGTCAATGAGTTTTATCATTTCCACAAATGGAGAACGTGCTTAAATTCGAATCAGAGGGAACATCTACAATGTCAACAGCGAATTTAAATATGGAGGGGAATTTGAATGCCATATTTGCTGCCGTTCTTCAACTCCTATATTAGAAAGTTTTCATTCACCATTTCTGCAAGGATAACTCCTTACATAATTAAGAAATTCATCTCCTTTATATATATCAAAAATTCAAAACCACAGAGTTGGTATTTTTTTATTCAACAATTTCATAACTTAGATTATTTTGGACTTTAGATTATAGTTTAGATGTATTCATTTTTATTTATGTAAAACTCAAAACAAGAACGATGATGTTTTTCTTTAATAGAAAACGACATGTCTAATTTCTCTAGGAAACGACATGTCGTTTCTTGTGAGTGCGAAAACCATGTCGTTTACCATTTCTAGGAAACTACATATCATTCATCTGTCCTTCTAATGACATGTTAATTAGACTAAAACAACGTCGGTCCATTTCCAGGAAACAATACGACGTGGATTTTCTCCAAGAAACAACATGTCGTTTCTTTTGGGAAGTGAAATGACATCGTTTTTTCTTGGGAACGACTTGTCGTTCTTTTGTCCATGAAACAACATATCATTTCTTTAATAAATAAACGATGTTATACTTCTTTAATCGGAACGACGCTATCGTGTGCAAAAACGGACAACATGTCGTTTAGCATGGGGAAACAACATCATTCTAATTTTCAAGAAACGACAGGTCCATTTTCTCTAGGAAAGCAACCTCTTGTTTCGTTTGGAATTTGAAACGGTGTTTCTTTTGCTCAAAAACGACATGTCATTTCTCTCTGTTCAGGAAACGACGTGTCGTTTCTTTTGTCCAGGGAACGACATTTCGAGTTGTTTTTGAATATCATTTAACTCCCTTTTGTTTTTCTTAATATATAAACACCCCTATATTTTTGTCGTAAATGGACCTAAGCGACATTTAACGTAAACAATTTTTAAATTTAAGGTAAATGAACTACTCTGCAAGACCCCGTTGTAACAGATTCTCGCCGAGGGTTTCTTTTACGGAGAACCAAAGTCGATTGTTATTTTTATTGAGGTCGCACTGCCATCTCCATATCCATTTGCTCTTTTTTTCCGATACGAAAAACTGCTATCCACCGGGCCTGGATAGAATAAATTTGTGAAAACATCAATTCAGAAGTCTTGATCCAAAATGAAGCAACTTCACTGGCAAGCTATTGCATACTCCTAGAGTAAGGATCATAAACGCACATCTCAAAGATACTTTTGGTTGCCGGAGTTTGGAGTCTCGATGAAGAAGGGCAGAGAGGTCGGTGGTGACGCTAAAACTTTAGCTGGAGTCATTTAACTCAATTTCATTTTATCTCATCTGCCCTAAGAACATTTATTCATTGAATATATGTTTCTTTAGCCATTTTAAAGATATGTAAGGCTTTAGTAAAGCTCTCTTGAGGTATTTCAGAAAGGCTCTCCAAGAGCGACTGACTTTTCTGAATCCAGAATGGATAGTAAAAGATATTGGAAGGGAAGTGGTTTTCTCCCTCACCGGACTGCTTAGAGTTAGTGCACAAACCTTGTTCACTCACTAGAAAAATAAAAAGAGACGTACTCACCCAGCTGAAAGCCAACCAAACATAGTTTCAGGCCTCAGGAGTTGAATGATACGCATAAATAAAATGACAAATATTTCAAGCAGTCCAAACTTTTGCTGACGGTTGAACGAATTTGTTGGAAATCCTTTTATTCCTAGCAAGCACTAAAGCATACTAACAGCTCAGACTCGTGTAGCATAGTAGTGTGTGAATGCAGTCTCTCAGTAGCAACAAATTGTTTCTTGTTACTCAAAAGATACAACCACCGAGTTATTTAAAGGTCTTACCATGCTCACCACAAACCAAATTAAATTAAGTAAAATTCTACAGATGGTCAGACAAATGGACATGCCTGCATAATGAATACACGCACCAACAAGCATGCAAATTTCCTGAAATGGTCCTAAAACTTCTACTTTGATAGAAACCAGAAAGGAAACCCACATCCTCAGCCAATCAAGTTGTACTCCTACCAGAGGGACTCAGTTGCCTTTGTTTGTCCATGATTAATCTAGAAACTCATTCACGGGGTTATCTGTCAATCAAAACTTGTTTCAACAGACAAGAATTACAATAAATCAAATCCCATCTATCTGTATTCTTCAGTTACACAGTTATTCTTCCGAATTTTCATTGTTCTTACACCTCTGCCGACATTATTCAGAGTTACCGATAGCCTCTTCCCCTTCCACGTCCACCCCAACCACCCCTACCCCTGCCCCTCATACCTCCCCTTCCACCTTGCGATATTCCTTGCAAAGCTCTATTTACAAGTTGATTTTGCAAGCCTCCAGATCCACGGCCCTTTTTTGCTGCCATATTGCCAGAACCATTGCTGGCAGCAGGTCGTTTCCCTCTGCACAAAATTATACAAAATTAGGATAATAACTAAAAAGGTCCATTCAAATAATCAAATTTTGCAGGAACAGTGTCCTTTTCTCTCGTATATTTCAATGGGTCACTGCATTGATGACCTCTCCAAGTTTTAGTTCATTTCAACTCTGAACTAATATGAGGTATAATATCATATTATCATATTATACCTCAGTCTAAACGCTCAACACAACATCTATCACTTTCCTGCAACCTCATGCTAGTGAAATGAAGCCATAAAAAATAATTCCACATGGGAATGTACAGCTATAAAAAGGTAGATTAAAAATAAACACAGAAATTGATAAGTACACAGCATCAACAGTTAAACAGAAGGAGTTTCAGTATCACACAGATGTCCTACCCAGTTGCAGTTGTCGAGGTCACAGAAGGCTTTACTGCTTCTTTCCATGAGAGGTTGACACTCTTATCTCCAATAAATGAAGGTGTTTTTGAATGTAACGGCTGCAATTTTAAATTTTCCAGAGATTAGTAAAGACAGTTCACCTATACATGTAATCAAATTGCAAGTAACAAGACTTTACTCCCTTTTACCTTTGACATGTGCAGAATGTTATTGCACGTCCGTAGCCCAGTTGTAGTATTCTGTTTTTGAGTTTTCTTCACATAAAACAAAGAAATTAGGTAACATACTAAGAATACAGCACAAGAGACCTAGAGTCTTCCAAAAATAAACTTACAATGTTATCCTTAGCTTCATCAGATTTAGCGGCAGCCATTGCTTTGTTGTGCTCAGCCATTCCCTGAGTTAATTTCTTCATTGTTGCCCTAGTTAGGTCCTCAACAGTAGTCAACCTATGTCATCATGACAATAAAGGGGACAATATTAATAACAGATTACAACTCATAGGTTGAACAAGAAAGAGAATAATATGTGTATCAGGTCTTATTGTACAAACTATTTGAGAAATTAAATTTATCAACAAAAACTTCACTCGGCGAGAAATGGGGAAAATTTTAACTGGTGAAACATGGCTTGATCTCAGTAATTTCAAGGAAAACTGCTTTTGAACTCTCAAACTTGAAAAGCAAACCAAAAAGAAAGAAAGAAAGGTCACAGGAATGAAATACAGAATTCATGCAGATGCCTGTCAATGTGACTAGTTTATCCAGTCATAAAAGCAAAAGCTACTTGGAATTAACCGAGTTTTGCATGTATCTTAAGATAACTCAATATTCATATAGTAGTGGAAGTTGTTGCAAAAAATTCTCTTTAATTTTTAAAAGAAGGCCTTAGTAGATTGCAATAATGATTGTTTTACATTTTTTCTCAATACAAGCATTTTATCAGTTTTACTTAATAAGCTCAATTCAATTATTTATCTTAGATTTTCTTCACAAGTCCCAGATCCTTCAAAGCAAGACCACGCGTCTGCTCCATTTTGACAAAGGATTGGCAAAATAGCTATAAGTTCAAGAAAATGTCTCTACCAATATTAGTTCAGAAAACTCAATGCAGCTACAAACAATATGGTGACTGTTGGAAAATGCAGAAAAGATTATAAAAGCTACAAACAAGCACTCGAGAGAAATCCTCTCCAAGCCTTACCTCTCAGTGAAGTCCTTGAAACACTCAGAGAAATCCTCTCCAAGCCTGTCTGATGGTTGACCAGTGACTATCTTGTAACCACATAGACTGTTAGTGGCATTGGGGGCCTATAAAAATAAAAATAAATATATAAATAAAAAGATAAAATAAGCATTGCAAAGTACCCGGCAAGTCGTTTTCTAATTAAAAAAATAGTAACCAACGAGAGGGGAAAGCTAATATGGTTAAATTAACAACCTTGTGAGCCATATGATGGAAAGAGAACAACAAGCACTCGACATAAGTAAAGTTCATTTCTTCTCCTCCAGTCTTCCTCAAAGGCATATACTTCTGAAAAGACAGAATACAGAATTTTAAAACAAACAGTTAAACATATACAGATCTTGCAGGCAAAATACTTATATTAGTTAGATCCAGTAATTACTAATTCAAGTACATTATAACAGGACCTTAGCCATAGACAAATGAAACCACTAAAAAGTGAGAACATACAAAACAAATTCAATAGAGAAACTAGATTTTAAACTGATATCTTTCCATATTACAGTTCTGAATAAATGATCAATAGTAAATAGCATGTATACCTTTAATAGAACAACAACAGAAGGTAGAACCTGTCTTGAATCCTGTGGTGTTGTGTAAGGCGATATTTCTGCAAGGGCTTTAAGAAGATCTAGCTTTCGTTCCTCAGGAAGCTGAAAGGGAATAAAATTGTTAGTATATATATCAAAAAAGTTCTTTACTGGAACAATAAAGAGTTAGACCACAAGTCTTTCAAGGAGGTAGCCCCTTGTATGGAATAACATCTTCAAATTGAAGAGAACTTCAAATTTTGTTCAGAAACCAACTTCTATCAACCAGGAAATGTTACAGGTATTTCATACAGAAACAACCAAGAGAAACAGATCATCATTTTTTTTATAAGAAACTGCAAAAACACCATATCACTGAGACATGTTTATAAATTTTTTAAATTATACAGCTCACGAAATTTTTGTGAGTTATGAAGAGTTTTTTTTATACAAAGAAGCTATTTTTCTAGAGTTTTAACAGCTATAATCAATTTACACACATTTGGATAATAAAAATTAAAAATGTCCATTCTAGATTTTCCTGTTATCACCAAAATTTCACAATCATTTCTATATCTTATTTTCCCAATTCTCTTTTCCATATTGTTTCTTGTTTCTATTTCAAAACCAATAAACACCTAAAATACTTCCAAAAATAAGAACAAATATACACTTTTTTTTAATAATAAACAAACAAAAGCTTTCGTTTACAGGGAAGGTGGCATTACCTTATCAAAAACTGGTATAATTTGTTTGTTCAAATAGTTAAGAAACTTGCTGCCCGATGCACCTCTCTGGTTAAAATTTTAGAAAATAAAGGAGATTGGGTTAAGAAAAATAGAAAATTTCTAATGTAAAATATCCAACAACATCAAGCACAATCCATACCAGAAAGAAAGGCATAGCCATGTACAGGCATGATATTAATCTGTCAATGTGGTCTGCATCTGAAACCTACATTAAAAACCATTTAAATAAATAAAGTTGTCATAAGAGGGAAAACAGCATGGTTATGCAAAACAATATCAATTCTCAAGACTAGCAAACTTATGGAGAAGGGCAAAAAAAAAGTAATAGAATACAGTCTCCTTTAAAAGTCACACCAACAGTGTGCTAGTTTTGCATAAAAGCACGCACAATAAACGTGCCAGAACTTCAAACAAGATCATGTATTCCCCCAATATTCCCTTTCCCTCAAAAGCAGTGTGAGAATTACTAAATATAACCATTATAAGAAAGTGAAGATACCAAATTCTCATTGCATTTCCTTGTGATCATAATAGCTCTGGGTTTCATAATTATCTGTCATCTGTTACTCCATATATACATACCAAACAATAAACAAAAACAACTAGGTACATATTAGATATCATGACATAACAACTACTCCCCTCAAGATTCAGACAAATTAACAATCTAAGTTAACATGAACAAGATAAGGTATTACAAAGATGGAAACAATATACATGAATTTCAAAACTCTTATGCAAAGAATGGCAACTACCACAAAAGGCTCAGAAGACCTACATGTCCAAAAATGCATTAAGTAGGTTATTAAGAATGACTCTCAAGTGACTAGAGATGATGAATAGCAAAAACTATATATTTGCAATTTTTAACCAAACTCAAAAAATCACACACTCACATTGAATTGTGCATCTAAATCAGCCTGTCCTTCAATGATTCCAATAAGCTCTTTCATGCGTTCCTGAGGAGCTTTCTCTCCAAATATGCTCAAACTTTTTAAAAAGTCCATAAACATTCTAAATTCTGCTCCAGTTACATCTTCTAAACTCTGTATGGACCTCATTCAAATTAGTCACGCATATTTAGCACAATTTAAAAAAAAAAAAAAAAAAAAAAAAAAATTAAACAGGAGAGAGCACTTATTTTCCAATGAGAAAAAGACCTAAGACCATGAACATACTTTTTTTATCAGATCGGTTATATGTCTTTCCATTTCCTCCTGAGGCTTCAAGAGTTCAGATTTAAGAGGAAAAACCTGCAAATGAGGTGAACTTAGAAGTGAATTATCATCTTAAAGAGAATCAGAATAATAATAGCAATTGGCATGATATAGGAGGTCCTCCAACCTTATCTCTTATAAAACTAAGAACCTTCTCCCGAATAATTTCATCTGTGCTTGGTTCATCAACACTCCCAACATGCTTAAATAAGGCAGTTAATGAAGCTGCATCAACAACAAAATTAATTCAGCCAGAGATGAAACCACGAAAACAAAATGCAAAAGATGGTAACACCGATGTGCACTCAGATAAAATACTAAATGAAAAAGCACATTTAATATAGGATTTCTAATAATTACAATATTCATGTGCCTTGAGTATACGACAGTGTTACTTTTGAACCAACTAACACCAATAATGAGTCGTATGTCTGTATTTCTATTTCTTTTCCGTGAACTTAAAATTAAATAAACTAAATAAAGAAAATAAAAACATAGCTTTTAGCAGCAAACCACCTCTTCCTTGCCCACACTCAAAAGACAAAAAGAATTGAATCTAATTAATGCAAATCTGCACCGAAAAGAAAGGACAAACATGATAAAAGCTACAAGATCATAAAATTATGCCAAAGAAAAAGAGCAAACACATAAATTAAGCATGATATGGCCCACAATAGCTTAATGGACAAAAAAGAATTCCACAATATTTGAAGTAGTTGGCATACAAGACTGGAGTTCTTGCCATAGCCACCTGTTATGAAGTATAATTATTAGGGGCTATGTTTGACGTAAACATCTGTTGCATGCTTCAACGCACTAAGTCAATCAAACAAAAAACACTACAAGGTAGAACAGTTGGCTGAGCTACTTTCCACAATAAGACAGGATCACATTTTTCAAAAGAATCATTGTTTCCAAATTTCATTGTTAGATAACTTAAAATATAAACTAAAAACTTATATTTTTAAGATAGCACAAATAATCTAGATATGACTAGTTTACGAATAAGCAATATAAGCTTTCAACTATAAGATAACAGTAGAGATTACACAATTACATAGCTATACGGAGACTTGATGCAGTTTTTCCATAACATAAACTTCCCTATAGACTGATAAATAATCTCTAATTCTCATAATCAAAGATAATGTATTCCTCAAATTATGAGTAACAGCATTGGCATCAGTCAAATGCCCATTCTCACCCACATAATTAATTCAAGATAGACATGACTGGTGAAACAACCTAGATAAGCTATAAATTATTTCCTAACTCATCATCATATAACAAGAACTTAGATATATCAACTTGATAAAAGCAAAATACCTTTTACATCTTGCCTCAAAAGGGACATGAGCGCTTTATGCACAGCATCACGCTCCACAATTTCCTCTACGATGCATCAAGAAAATCTAAGATAAAATGCCCAATAACATGACCCCAATAAATATCCAGAAGCAGATTTTTATTAACAAATTGTAACTTACCAGCCGAAAGAAGTTGCACAAGAATGTCAACAATCTTTGAAAGATACTCTGGTGTATCTTTGCAGAATAGAGGAAGACCCCTAATTGCTTGAACCCGAACCTGTTTACAGTTAAAATTTCAATTTTCATACAATTATTCAATCAAGTACGGAGCTCAGTATAACTGCATTTTTTCACAATGAAAATAAAGCATCGAATCAATAAAGTAATTCCAGCACCAAACTAATTCATAATATATAACACTCTAATACCTTTATTTTCTACAGCAAAAACTATTTTTCATTTCGCACAGATCCTCAACAGCAAATATATTTTTATTAACATACTAAATATAAAGCTAAAGAAATTCATTAAAGAAAAAAAAAATGAGCAAATTTTATCACACATTTTTAAGAGGGCGTCTAAGCATTTAATGGAATGAAAAGAGTAGCTAATTAAAAAGATTACAAAAATCAAATAATACCAAGTAACTAAGAATTAGTTGAACCAGTAGAGAAAGCGAAAACACTGACCCCGAGTTCTTCTTCCTCGATCAAATCGAGATGTGCATCGACGGCGCGACCCGAGAGGTCAGGAAAAAACTTGAAAAACCTAGGAATTAGCTGTGCCGCTAACTGCTTCGCTTTTATACTCGTTTTCGCAGCTTCGATTATCCCCTCATAGTCCTTCACATTCTACAAAACAAGAACAATTATTATTAAGGTCAATTCTATCATTTCAAAAAAGGCATTTAAAAAAAAAAAAAAAAGTGAAATAAAACCCTAGAGTTAGACCTGCGACTTGTCCTTGGCCTCGTTGAGTCGTTCGCCGAACTCGTAAAGCTTCTCGATTTGCTTAGCTTCCTCGGAGGGCTCAGTCATTGGAGAAATTTTCTATTATTTTGTTATTTGTTGGTTTGTGTACAGAGCTGAGTGTGAGATCGAACAATAAGAAAAAGCGAAATGAGTATGAGTATGAGATTATTACGAATATAAATTGAACCAAAAACATGATGAAGAAAGAAGTGTAATAGCAGAGATGAGACCGTACAGATGAGACGAGGCTGGAAGAATAATGGAAGAGTGAGAATAGGGTAAGATTACGAAACTCAAAAAACTCTTCAACTTCAAGGAGCTTCCTTTTTGCAAATAAGGGTTTGCTTGACAGTGTTATTTGCTAAGAGAACAAACATCACGGTATATCGACCTCGTGTCGGGTCCCAACCCGATATTTCACCTGATTTACATATTAAAACTGTGTCGTTTTCATTTCATCTTTTAACTCTGAAGGGTCAACGCACCGTTTTGGCCTTGTCTAAAGTGCATCCATTCATGCCTTGACAACTGGGGCACCAGTATGAATTACTGTTACATATTTGTTTTATTGTCTTTTTGACCATTCTCCTTCGCATAGTTGTCCTTAATCTTTACACTTTGGGTCATTTCAAAGCACCATGGTATAGAACATGAAGTAATAAAACCAATGTTGTCAATACAAGAAGAAACATCTTCTGATAATTCAAGTAAATCTATAACTGAAAAGTATACATGTTGAAATAAGAAGAAAAATTTAAAAGAAGGAGAACAATATTTCTATGTGATCTTATTGCTGAATGCTGCTGTTGAACTCTTCCCTTCTACAGTTGTACAGTTACTTTGAAGAACATCCTTTATTCTTTTCTGGGGAAATCACAAGACGGGCATGTTCAAGGCTCGTAGGACGTCCTTGAATTCGAAATCATGAGTTTGTTTATTGAACTGTTCCACCAGCTTATACCTCACATCATTCAAATAAAAAGACTGGGTGGTCTCTAATAGCCATTCTGCCTCTGAGTCACTGAGCTTACTGGTGAAGACTACCTCTCCACGGATAAGCACCAGGTCCTTGCTCTCTGCAAAGTCTCTGTAAAATGTTACAGTGAAGTAGGGGGCTGCTTGAGTTCCTCTCGCCTTGTAATCTTCAAGTCCAGTAAAAAGAATATGTGGCAATTGCACTGAAAAAAAGGCAGAATGTTTTGAGTAAACTACGAGCTTCACTTCAAGGAGCACTTCTCTTCTCTGCTTTCTCAAAACATATTTTTTGTGACTCGGTGTATTTTGGCTAGCATATGCTAACTGAGTGGCCGGCCCTAGCTAAAACTAAGCAAAGAAATGGAAGGAGCATCTTCCAACTCTTATTTGGTTATCAAAATTAAGAGCACAGTGCTATGATGGCCAATCACCCTTGCCATGTTTTATATAATAACATTAAGCTTTCTAACTTTTTTTCAAGCAATATACTTAACTCAGTATTCCCAAACTAAATTAGAACACCTAAGGTTATTCACATCTGCAGGTACCACCTTTTTCTATAATTTTGTGAAACATTATCACCAGAAAGCTTAAGGTATGTGGTCATATCTCCATGGAACACCTTGATGATAAGGAGCCAGGCAATCAGGACAAATAGTTAAAGCAATTTAATACTTGCTTCAACATATAATTCTACTTTAATAAGGAAAGAAACGTAAACCCAAATTATGTTTTCTGTCAGAAGAGAAATGTCACACAGACACTAGCTTTGACATGGAAAATTTGAGACCATTGCTTATAACAACAGAATAACTATACTTCTGATTGTATTTTTTCATCTGTCTCTACTAAAAAAATTTATCATCAACTGATTACCTTGTTCCATGATACCAAAAAGTAGTAGGAAAGATTAAGTAAATGGTAAGAAACTAGTTCTGATTACCCTGTTCCATGATTGTTTATCATTCTAGTCTTTATTACAAGATACATACCAAATGTATACAGCATGAATACAAGTATTAAGATTGTTTAATCCATTTGCTAATGTGGCATTGCAAAGTGTTCCCCACCTTGGAAGTTTATTTACCTAGTTTTTGCTTAATGCCGTGACCACATCGAAGAAGAGAAGGAAACTGGTACTTATTACTATAAACTAACTCAAGCTTGTTTACACATTGGTCTAATCCTCTTTCTAGAATTGCAATTATTGCTCTTTTATTCAAGATTTACACTTTTCACAACCATAAGTACAATTAAATATCATTGTTAAATGCACCAGTCATATAACTCATAACAGAATCTACAGAATTGGTGAATGAATCCTGTATAAGAAAAATAAAATAAATAAAATAAAATACAAGTCGTAAGATAGGTAGTACAGCCAAAGGACCAACCAAGACAACGAATTTTTTTTTTTTTTTATCACAAATAGATTGACTTTCACATGAGAGAACAACTAAACATATTATATGCTGCGCATATTAGACATAGGATAGTTATAAGAGACCAACCTTGAGCAAACATTGTAGTATAACCACTTCCTTTCCACAATGGAATTACAAAATACCGGCTGCAAAGATTGATAGAAAAGTAAAAATAAGAAACATAATGGATGAAGAGATATATACAGCAGAGACATGCATGAATAATTACCAATCTCTTGCTCTGTGCTCCAATAAATGATATAGTTGGGCTTTCATGCTTGCACCAATGTGGCCCCTTCCTATGTGATACTGATATAACACCAACCCACCAAAACATAGAAGAAAAAATCATTGGAATAAAAAAATTAAAAATAGAAGAAGTAATCATAATTCATGATTTATAATTAGACGCTTTAATAAAATTGTCACTCCAATCAAGATAACATAAGGACAACGGGTTGAAAAACAATCATTCAACATGAAGGTACAGTCCCAGGCCAAAGATAACAAAGGAGCCATTTTAAGTGATTGAAATGGAAGGCAACTATTGGGGATTTGGTTCATCCTGCATAGCATGTTTTGGGTTCGGCAGCCAAATCTATAAAGGCTCATGACCTATCTTCCACTACTAACAAAACTGTCAGAAAGTTTCCTATTTGAAAGCAGAAATAAAGAAAACAAGATTCATAAGGCATCACTGAGCAAACATTCATATTCCTGGAACATTAAAACTCAAAGCCATAGCCAAAGTAGAAACTTAACATTGGTACAAGCAGGAATAAGCTCAAAGGCTAGAACTCACAAATAAAATCAAAATGGAGACTTAGCATTAAGAAACATCAGAAACTTGTTCTCTTTCTTTCTAACAAAATGGAGGATAAATTATTTCCCTCTTTATTTTTTTTTATTTTTTTTTGGGCATCAGTGATAATTCTCGACTACGAAAATAGCAATCTTCATTCATACAAGCATTATTACCATCAAGTCACTCATCACACATTATTTCTAATCATCCAAGTCACTCATCACTAAGTTACTCAGTCTCCATTCGCGGAATGGCATTGAAGAAGTTATCCGGCCTATACACCAGTCTAGTAACATTAAATTCAGACCAAAATTAAACTCTGCTAAAGCAATATCAAACATTAGTGGGTTCTAGCTAGTTCAGCTGGTTGGAAAATGAATTCCACTAACATTAGCGTGGAAAGGGGTTTGATTTTAATTTGTAAGTTTGAACAAGCAAAGAATAGCAGTTATCTACTCTAGTCCCTGCAATGGACGCAGATTTAACAAAAGGATCGATATCATTGTACTCAAAAACTTGAAATACCAACAATTCAGGCATGAGGAAATTAAGAAAGACCCTTAAACTGGAAATTATAACAACGACATGCACAGAAGAATATGAAAGTTACATACATCGTCCCAAATGGAAGCAAGGTCCTCGGATGATTTATCCTTGGCTCTCTGGATATCAATGATCGAATCCAACGGCTTTGGCTGCAACGGCGTGAACCCAGTGGCGAACTTTGAGGTTCTATAAAAACCAAGCGAGGCCCATTTCAAGAAATCGCATGGAATCGCATATTGCTGCTGCTGTTTTTGGAGACCCGGATTAGCAAGAAATGTAGTGAAAGTGTGTTTACAATGTGTTTTGGTAAATGGAGTTGTTAGAGAAGAGAGTTTCGCCCTTGAGATTCTTGATGATAAACGCTGCATTGTGTGAATTTGAAGCGAAAATATCGTAAATTCACAGATTTGAAATTAACTCGAGAGTTCTGTCAAACAGTTGGCGTGCAAGGCCAATAGCTTTTCGTTAGAGCACGACGTTTTTGGGCTTTTTGCAACCTTTTCGTAATGAATTTGGAAAAATGACCACTTATAGATGATTTAAGAAAAAATGACCATTCATAGATGGTTTTAGAAATTGACCTTCATCTCGTTAATTAGTGTTGGAAAATGTTAAAATGGTAGCTTTATTGCTCAAAAAGTAGATGGTTTTCATATGCATGATTTTTTCTTGTCTTAAATCAATGGAATTATATTATTAAGCATCTATCCAGCAAAATTGTAGAATATATACATTCATTCACAAAATAATCAATTTTGTAGTGATTGGTGAAAAATAGAAAGCCCTCCATTTAGGTGACTTGGGTGAGAAATTACCTTCTTAAAAATAAAAACCTTTGGGAGATTAATGCACGACAAGATTGCTCTTAGCCTTGGAGACATAATCTTAAGTTTAGGGTGTTGGTTTGGGGATTTATTAAAAACGTTATTGGGAATGGAAATTTCACTTCTCTTTGGTTTGATAATTGGCACCCTAATGGCCCTTGATTAGTAAGGGTGGAAAAAAAAAAACCAAAAACCGGACTGAACCGAAACCGGTCCGAAAATTTCATTTTTTTTTCAGTTTCGGTTTTTTGAAATAATAAAAACGATTAACCGAACCGGATTTTTAAACCGGTTTAATGAATAAAAAAAAAAAATTTATTTTTCAATTTTTAAAAAATTTATCCCTAGGTCATCACTAATGCTCATTTTCCAAAATTCAATTTTTTAAAAAATAATTTTATATTTTGCACATTTTTAAAAAATTTATCCCTAGGTCTTCACTAATGTAATTTTAAATTATTAATACTTGATGTAAATTAAAATTATATGAATTCAAATTATTCAATTACAATAAATATAACTTTAATTTAAGTTTAAAAAAACCTGGAAAAAAAAGGGTCAAAGTGGAGGGTTTGACCGAATTGGGCCAAACAAATGTAGCCCATTATAATTAACCGGTTAACCGAACCGAATTTTCGGTTCGGCTTTAAACCGGTTTATAACTAAAACCGGATCGGTTTCGGTTCAATTTTTTTTTTAAACCGAAAACCGGTTCAGTTCAAGATACCGATTAACCGGTTTTTTCCACCCCTATTGATTAGTAAGTATGGTAATCAAATTATTTATGATTCGGGTATTGATAAAATTGTTAAAATTGTTACTTCTAATGCTAACTGTTGTTTTTGCAATATGGGACAAGAATCTTTAGATCATCTTTTTTTTGCTTGTCCATTCACTAAATCCATATGGTGTAGTATTCTTGAGTTAGCTCATTTGGGATATTTAGTAAGACCTTGGCATGATTATACATTATATCTTGCTAGAAGATGGAAAAGGAAAAAAGCTCAAATATGCTATTGCTAAGCTTTGTTTGGGGGCTATGGTGTATTGGGTTTGGAGGGAGAGAAATAGTAGGATGTTTGGGGGAGAGTGTAAGGATATATGTTCTATTATTAATTCGATCAAATGCATTGTGAGAGAAAGAGCTATGGACTTTAAAAACTTCAAGGCCTCCTTTATTAATAGGACTTTGGCGGACTTATGGGGCCTCCCTAGGGCTGTCTTCAAGTCCTCCTCCTTTGTTCATGCTTTGGTCGATTGATGCCTCCCTAGGTCAATCATTCCTTGGATGAAGATTGAGTCGTTTTGGGTTCTTCTTTTGAGTTTCCTTGTATTTTCTTTTGTTTTGCTAAGTATTGTTCCTAACCAAGGGCATGTCCTAAGGTAGGATTTTTGTTTGAATTGTATTCCTCTTGACTTTGTGGTGTCGGCTCCTCTTGGTTCCAATCTTTTTTTTTTTCTTTAAGATTGTAAAACAAGAGGACTGAGTGTTGCTGGGCAACCTCAGTTAAGGTGTGATTTCACTGTTTAGTTTTGTGTTGGTGCTTTGTTTTGCTTTTGGCTTTAATTGCCTAGTTTAGCTTTTTGTTAGTAGTTTCATGATTACTGATTCTTTTGAGCCTAACCTAAGGTTTGTCCTATGATGTGTGGCCCTTTTTATATGACCTCTTGTAAATTCTTTCTTTTCTATGAATGTACTTACCCAAAAAAAAAAAATAAAATAAAAAAAAAAAATATATATATATATAATATATATATATAATATTATTTTATTAAAATGATTATAAGGTTTATTATATTTGTGGTCCATCTTAATTTGGGAGTAATCATATTTATCTCTTTAGTTTTAGGGTAAATTTTCATAATAAACGTATTCTTCTTATAGTTAAATGTTGTTAATCAAATATATATTAGATGAACAAATTTCGTATAGTTAAGATAGATTATAAGATCATGCTATAACATAGAGATATGGGCCAGAAAATGGAACTTTAATTTGGTCCACACCTGGAACCATGGCTTCATCTTCATTTAGATAGCCCATTTAGATCATCCGAATCAAACCTTAGCCCAATATAGTTTCACGGTTCATCCGTAGTTGAAGCTTCATTTCTCCAACTGTTGATTCCAATCAAACCAGGACTTGAACTTCAAAATAGTGCAATCAGATCAATGGTGATAATAGTTGCATCCACGTTGGCTTCTTCTTGTTAATACAAATGGTTAAATAAAAAAAAACAGCAACCCACTGTGTTTTTCACTCGCCTTGATCTTTGTGACAACACAGTTTTACATTTCCCATGTTTATTAGAATAGTAAAAGTAAAAAGTACCATAAAAAAGCTGTTCCCAGTAAGTTGCCATTGTCTTCTTCTATCAGTCTATGACTCCACAGGATTTCTTAATAATTTTTTCTTTAATTTTAGTGAAGTAGTTGAGCTCGTGGGCAATCTCTGCCATCCTCCATGTTTCCCTCTTTGAACTTCTCAAGTATCCGACTCTTCAGTTTGACTTCAAGCTCACTCATCAAAATCACATTATAATTTTTTACAACTCAATCAGAGTTTCCTGATAATTAATGCATTGTATTTCACATTTAATTTCTTTAGTTCAATGTTTTACCTTTCAAGGTAACACTTAAAAATGCAAGTAGCCAAGCCAGCCTAGTGAAACAAAATAGTTAGTCGGTTGCAAAGAGATAAACATTATCTAAACTAAAGAAGAATTCAAACCAACCCTGGAAAAAATTTAGTGTTTTGGCAAAATCTGAGTGGGGACTATACTCTGTAGTCTGAACTACCAAGATGCAGAACTCTAAATTAAATCATTCAAAGTGGGTTCCTAGTGCTGAGTGCAAACTTTTTGGCTGTGTGTGATGGGTTTTCTATTTTCTGGTTTCTTTTACTTCTGTAGTTGAGGTTCATAAATTTACAAGTACCACTTAAAGATAGATGGGAATGAGTGTGAAATAGTCCTCACTCCTGACAGCTTTTACTGCTGTCACAACAAAAAGCCTACCTCCACTTAAGGCACAACTGAGAAGGCCAAAAAGATGAGCAAAGTAAATTAAATTTGGTATTCAATTTATTATCAACGGCATAGATTTACTTATATATTAAAAGGGTGTTCATACTCTGGCAAGTTCTTTCATTGTTGCACATGCACTGCATTTAAGAACTCATGTCTTGTCTGCAAGTGGGGGGCTCCCTCTCTCCACCATATATTCAACTTTCTCACCTCATTACTTTTGTATTCATTTTCATTTCCCTATTTTGCTTCACTCTCTTGCTGAAACCCCATAATAAGAAATGACTCTCAATAAAAGGAGCAAACTTTCTTAACCGTCAGATTAACTTCTTACGGTTATTTAGTCATTTGGACTTGTAAAGTGTTCAATAGATCTCAAAGATTAGTTGAAGTGCGTGTAAACTGATCCAATCATCTCAGTTATCAAAAAAAAAAAGAAAAAAAAAAAGTTAATTATTGTATCTGCATGACTAATTGACAAATTTTGATGTTAAATCATCAGTGATTAATAATTGTTAATACCCGTGATTGGATTCCCTATGACAATTATTGTTGTGTAATCCATAAAGACACTGCCAAACCATTGAAGATCCATTAATTTAGCAAGTAAATTAGAATGGCACAAAAGGCTGAAAGGCATTCATTTGTTTCATTAATATTTACACCATCTTTTCTTTCTTTCTCTGTCACTTGTGCTTTATTAATGGTTTTAGGCTTCACGGGGTGTTGATTCTCTATCCTTTTTTCTACAAGACGAATCTGTCCCACAACAAACTTTCGCACCTGAGGTCTTCACTTTTATATTCTCTTCTACTATTAGTCTTTTGTCCTAAGCTGCCCCATATACAATCATGTCTATCCCAACTTCTTCTTCTTCTCCTTCTTCTCCTTTTGTTTTCATTTGCTTCCTCATCATTTTCTTGCTTACTCTAACCACACCCATTTCTCTGTCCAAAACCGCCAGACGCCAACTCTCCGTTGATTACTATGCAAAATCTTGCCCCCAACTTGAGCAACTTGTAGGTTCTGTAACCAGCCAACAGTTCAAAGAAACACCAGTTTCAGGACCAGCCACCATTCGCCTTTTCTTCCATGATTGCTTTGTGGATGTAATCTACATTCCCAGCAATTCCCACATTCTGCATGCACATATACCAAATTGTTTTTGCATTTGATTTTATACTTTCTAATTTATTTATTTTTCCCAATATGTGCATGTGGGACTGAAGGGCTGCGATGGGTCTATATTGATATCAACAGTGCCAGGAAGCAAAGTGTTAGCAGAGAAGGATGCAATGGATAACAAAGACCTAAGAAAGGAGGGGTTTGAGAGCATAACAAAAGCCAAGGCCTTAGTGGAGAGCAAGTGCCCTGGTATTGTATCTTGTGCAGACATTCTTGCAATTGCAGCTAGAGATTTTGTCCATTTGGTCAGTCCTTCACCTTTTTCTTTAATTACTTTCTGCTACCAGATGCTTTCAATTTTTATCCCACACGTACACCATATGCATGTCACTGAATAAAGGCAGACTCATTTCAACTTCGGCTTTAGACTTATTTGATTGCTATTAATTTTTACTTTTCATTATTATAAAAACCAATTATCTAAAATGTAGCTATATATAAATTGCCAGAGAGGAAAAAGAGTTAAATTTTGTCACACTCACACAGTGTCAATGAATGATTGGTGGACTTAGGCTGTTCCAAAGCCCCATTTCAAAAGATGCCCATGAGAATGACTAGTTCCTGTAATTCTGTATGATTCAATAGGTCCACTGGTAAACGTTACAGATAAATTTCGATTTCTCTGTTCTCACCCTTCTGGATCCTGATATTTGACGATGCTTCCAAAGTAGAAAGATTTTGGAGAAATTTTGTCGGGTCAATTTCTGCGAAACAGCTAAACTTGATTTACATCCTGTTCGATACGGCCAAGAACTCATAAATACATAATTCTATGTGCTTTCCCACACCAGACCAGAGTTAATTACCCATTTATTTAATCTTGTCCAGATTTAGTGATTTCAGTTCATTGTAAAAGTCAATATCATCTTATTTTATTTTTGAATAGGCCATATCGTCTTACTGCAATCGATGAGACAAAACTATTTTATAAAGAATTTTGTATTCAAGTAGAAGCCAAATCTAGAAAGAATCTAAAACATTTGCTTTAAAAATAATGTTGAAATTCATGTGGGTGCAGGCTGGGGGGCCTTATTACCAGGTGAAGAAAGGAAGGTGGGATGGCCAATTGTCAATGGCATCATGGGTACCCTCAAATCTACCCCATTCAAATTACACCATTGATCAGCTGATCAAACTCTTTAACGCAAAGGGGCTGACAGTTGAGGACCTGGTGGTTCTTTCAGGGGCACATACAATTGGGTTCGCCCATTGCAACCAATTTGTGAGCCGGCTCTATGACTATCATGGCACCAAGAAGCCTGACCCTGCCATTGATCCGAGACTACTAAAGGCTCTAAGAATGTCATGCCCACATTCTGGTGGTAACACTGATATTGTTGCACCATTTGATGTTACCACTCCTTTTGTGTTTGATCATGCCTATTATGCAAATTTGGAAGGTAAATTGGGGTTGTTAGCCTCGGACCAAGCTTTATTTTTGGACCCGAGAACCAAGTCTCTTGTTCAAGAATTCGGAAAGGATAAGCACAAGTTTTTCCAAGCTTTTGCAGTAGCAATGGATAAAATGGGCTCAATAGGTGTTAAAAGAGGAAGAAAACATGGGGAGAAAAGAAAAGACTGTAGTGTCCACATGTAAAGCTTCGTGTTTTCGTTTACATAATACTACGAATACAATATTTTTCTTATAATATAATATGATGGAAGATGGTTTAGTGATTTTAAATTAAAAATAAATTTTTACATAATCTTCTTTTATCGTATTATATTATATGAAAAATATTACATATGTAGTATTATTCTTTTCATTTTTTCTATCTTTTGATTTGGGCTTTTTTTGGGGGAATTTGCAATCCTTGGAGAGGTTTTCTTTTAATTCTTTTTTATTTATCGGCAATATTTGATGGTTCATTAATTAATTTACCTTTTAATCTCTAAACTTTAACAATAATTGCATGGTTTGATAGTGACTTTTTAATATATTACTCAAGAGGTCATGAATTCGAATCCCTCCTTGGTTGCTAATAAGAGTAGTTATTGAAGCTTTGACTCGGCCGATAGTTCCAAGGTTTCGATAAATTAATTGAGATGTCCGTAAACTGGTTTGGATACTCTAAAAAAAACATACAGTCTGCACCCACATGAATTTCAACATTATGACCAAATCAATAATATTCTCTAATTGTTACATTACAAATTTCTGAAAAAAAGAAAAAGATTTAAAAAATTCTACCAGAATTTTTTATAGTTCACAATAAATTGTTAATATATATATAGGCGCTACCTGGCAGGCCAATAAGAGTTATTTCAATTTTCTTTACGAAAATATTAAATAAAACAAATAGGAAAAAGGCCATGTCCGCAATTCCCTTGCTTCCTTCCTTTGTACTACGCATCAGCACGCCAAAAAGAACTCAACTTCACCACCAAAAGCTTGAAATCAAAGCCATGCGAGCTGTGGTTCAACGAGTCACCTCTGCCAGCATCGAGGTCTCAGCTTTACATTTTATCCACTCTCTCTTCATCAACTATATTTATATTTAGCCTCTTATACTTACTCCATCATCATTTGTTTTTTCCCAGGTCGATGGGCGCATTGTGTCCGAAATCGGGCCGGGCCTCCTTGTCCTCGTCGGGCTCCACGAGTCTGACACTGACTCCGATGCCGATTTCATGTAAAACCATTTTCATTTCTCTCTCTTTTTAATTGCAAAAATTTGTGAATGGTAGTATCTGACTGATGAAATGTCTGAGTGAATGAAATTACGCAGTTGCCGTAAAGTTTTGAACATGAGGTTGTTTCCCAATGAAAATACAGGCAAAGGATGGGACTTCAATGTAATTTTCTGTATCACTCTTTGTATTTGAAGTGTAAAAGTGTTTCTTTTGTGTTATATGTAAGTGTTGTAAATCTTTGCAGGTTATGCAGAAGAACTATGGAGTTTTACTGGGTATAGCTTATATATTACCTTTTACTTATATGCTGTGCCGAAATTTACAGTTATCATGAGTGTGTTATAATATTCTTGCGGGTGTTACAGTGAGTCAGTTTACATTGTATGGAATTTTGAAGGGTAACAAACCTGATTTTCATGTGGCAATGCCACCCCAGAAAGCAAGACCGTTCTATGATTCTTTAGTTGAAAAGTTCCGGAAATCATACAACCCGGATGCAATAAAAGGTTAAGATACTTTCTCCACGCTTGCTGCCTGCATAAGTTTAATTGTAATTAAAATGTACTATTGCATTAGATAAAGCTGAATTAGAATGTCTTTTCTATGTAGAAACACGGGCTAGGGAGATACATTAGGTGTTAAATTCATTCATAAATCTATTGGAAACCATTATTTTATTATTACTGGTGGAAGGAACTTATTTTGCATCAAGAGCCGACCAAGTACCTGTCTTGCCATGACTTTACCAGTGGTCTACTTCAAGATTGCAGCTCCAATGAATTTGTGGAGCTGGTTTCTTTTTGCTCACATTGAACAGGCGTGCCTGTTCCCCTTGTTACTAGAGCTTAGATAAATCGCTGGTGCTTAATAGTCTGCTTATGGGACAACTTCTTTCTAAGACCTAATAAGAAAATTCATGTCATATATCTATTAGAGTTGATGAGCTTATTGAATTGGACGTTCTTTCTCTTCAGAATACCTGTAGGTACGAAAATATTATGTGACCAATGTCTACCTGAACAATGAGAATTAGTTATATAGGATTGGTTTGCAGGAGCTAAATTATTGTTAGAGTTGGACCCATGCTTGACGGGGTTACCATGATATAATATAAGCCTAAAACTCATCCTACACTTTTGCGTTGAATGTCCTTGATTAAGTACAATGATTTATATATTAACCTTTGTCTGTTTTCCAAATTGATTTCCATAGATGGCGTCTTTGGAGCAATGATGAAGGTAATTTCATATATATTTATATGTTTGTGTTTTAATTTCATCTCCTTGCTCAAGAACACTTCTCTAACTTATTTCTTTCAATTCGTGAAGGTTAATCTGGTTAATGATGGCCCAGTCACAATGCAGCTTGATTCAGCACCATCTTCCAAGTTAGTCCCATGAGCCTCAATAAACTCAATAAGAACATGATAATCGGTTGTTTTCATGATTAGTGTTTACAATAGTTAATTTGTTTTAATGGCTTAACAAGGCTGTACCATTTCAGGAATACAAATGAAGCAATAGGAGAATCATGATTTTGTCAACTTCCTTGGGTTAGATTGATGTCAAACAATGGACCTGTTTTTTTCTTATATGACCACAACCTGAATTTAATAACTTATAATGTAGCCTGATCAGTTGTAAAACATGAAGCTCTTTGAAGGAATGTATAACAGTTCTTGTATTAGTGAAAGTTAAACTCAATATTTTGGATGAAAGTTGTGAGAGCCAAGAGGTTTGCATCTGCCATTTTTGGTTGACATAAAAATATACGCAATTGGAGCTTCTCTTTTCCACTTTGGCTCTTTGCTAACGATTGCCAAGTACCGTATTGCCTTCTTGGTAAAATAAATCATTTTTAAAGCTCAGATATAACTAAGTTTTTTGGATTCTATTTGGAGCACAATTCTTAGCACTGCCTGCATTTGAATAATTTTGTGCCAGCATGTGAATGAAGGGCAACTCCTGCATTGCGCAATCAAGCCATCAGAAAGTCATATTTTTTATTTTTATTCAATTAATTGGTCCATTATTACCATGTTTTAATCATTGTTTAAAACCTAACCCGACCTCGCCGGTTGAATTGGGACTTGGAGCCTTTATTGGGTTTGGTTACAAAATTTTTTATTCATTGAAAACCTTAAAAATTAAGACATCAATTCATAAACAATTGAAGGCTGAAATGTTAAAACTTTTGAAGAGTAATGGTCGGTGAATGCAATAATGGCAACAGTGTTGATTTCCAGTGAGTGAATCAATCGAAAATCGCAAAACAATATTACCAAAAAAAGCCCGCTATCGCCAACGATTGGGGAGGCGAACAAAGGAAGGGTGTGATGGATTTTAGTCAAAAGGTTGAGGAAAGTGTTTTTGTGATGCTGGAGAATGTTGTCATCGTCAGAAAAAAACCCTATTTGCTAATGCCGACGATAGTGTTTGAGGTGTTTTTGCAAGATTTCAAACTTATAGAAACTTATATGTAATTTTCAAAAGTATTTTTGTTAAATTTCAAACTTTTGGACACCTGTTTGACTTTTTGTTCAAACTGGTTAAACTGATCAACCCAAGATTCAACCACTTTGTTGGGTTTCATCTCGAGTTAGGTTTTAAAACATTGGTCTTAATCAACCGTTGCTCATGTTCTCCTATCTTACCGTACTAGTTTCTTTAATTTCAAAATGAGAGCAAGAGACTAAGAGAGCATATCTTCCTAGTTTCACTAGCATGCCCGTGGCCTTGTAATTTTGAAACAGCACAAAGATCATCCAAATATGCTCTCTGAATCCATTAGTTCTTTTGATGAATGTGCACCTAACAGGGTGACCTGCCACTTAAAGTCTGGTAACATGGGGAAAAAAAAATTTGGCCATTCTGTACAAATAAATAAATCATTTCTAGGCCTTGATTTTTTGGAAACCAAATATAGAATCCACCATCAGATATAACATGACTAGGTAGTGAATTGGAATGAAGGCTAGACCTGCAGGACCTGCAAACAGAGCACAAAGGGCATAGTTATATATTTAATTTAAAGAAACTATTTCACAAGTAGGTTGATATAAACACACAAGCACATTATACATATAATACCAAATATGGTTTATATAAGCTAAATATTTTCTTGCCCTGTTACAGTATATTGAGTTAAATAGCCGCACAAGGCAAAAAGGTGGCACTGCATAACCAAGTGGAAATATTGCCAACCAAGTTATTGACTTCAAAATTAAGGACCGGAACGGCCTGACAGTAGAAATAAACCATTTTATGGAGGTCCTCTTATGTAAAAATTCTCAAGTGCGTATGCCCCTATTTTTTTAACTAGCAATAATAAACACTCAACAAGAGATTTTTATAGTTTTATAGTATTACTAGATCAGATTACCNTGGAGAATGTTGTCATCGTCAGAAAAAAACCCTATTTGCTAATGCCGACGATTGTGTTTGATGTGTTTTTGCAATATTTCAAACTTATAGAAACTTATATGTAATTTTCAAAATTATTTTTGTTAAATTTCAAACTTTTGGACACCTGTTTGACTTTTTGTTCAAACTGGTTAAACTGATCAACCCAAGATTCAACCACTTTGTTGGGTTTCATCTCGAGTTAGGTTTTAAAACATTTGTCTTAATCAACCGTTTCTCATGTTCTCCTATCTTACCGTACTAGTTTCTTTAATTTCAAAATGAGAGCAAGAGACTAAGAGAGCATATCTTCCTAGTTTCACTAGCATGCCCGTGGCCTTGTAATTTTGAAACAGCACAAAGATCATCCAAATATGCTCTCTGAATCCATTAGTTCTTTTGATGAATGTGCACCTAACAGGGTGACCTGCCACTTAAAGTCTGGTAACATGGGGAAAAAAAAATTTGGCCATTCTGTACAAAAAAATAAATCATTTCTAGGCCTTGATTTTTTGGAAACCAAATATAGAATCCACCATCAGATATAACATGACTAGGTAGTGAATTGGAATGAAGGCTAGACCTGCAGGACCTGCAAACAGAGCACAAAGGGCATAGTTATATATTTAATTTAAAGAAATTATTTCACAAGTAGGTTGATATAAACACACAAGCACATTATACATACAATACCAAATATGGTTTATATAAGCTAAATATTTTCTTGCCCTGTTACAGTATATTGAGTTAAATAGCCGCACAAGGCAAAAAGGTGGCACTGCTTAACCAAGTGGAAATATTGCCAACCAAATTATTGACTTCAAAATTAAGGACCGGAACGGCCTGACAGTAGAAATAAACCATTTTATGGAGGTCCTCTTATGTAAAAATTCTCAAGTGCGTATGCCCCTATTTTTTTAACTAGCAATAATAAACACTCAACAAGAGATTTTTATAGTTTTATAGTATTACTAGATCAGATTACCTGTGATATGAAAATCTTTACACAAAGTAACTTTGATGATTTTTGTAAACTCCTATGAGTTTGTTGAGAGGATAGTTGCTGCTGTAAACAATGCTTCTTTTCCAATTGGCAAAATTTCCACTTTTCTGTAACATGACATGATAATATTGATTAAAGAAAAAAGGAACAGTAGACATGATAATTAATGGAAAACATGTCTGAATGAAAAGTAATGTCCTTGCTTCTAACTATTCTTTATCATACCACTGTCAAGTTCAAGGTTTTCTTTGCAACAGAAACAATGAAGTTCAAACTCATTGCTGTTTTCCTTCTAAGGTTAAGGAGGGGGTTTAATGAATTCTTTGCTACTAGTCCTTAGTTCATAACATGTAAAATTATCATAAAATTCAACCATCTGTGCAAGACTGTTCTGTTATGAAAGTGACAGCAAGAACAGTGGATGAGTACTGTGCAATCAAACCTATTACGGACTTGTAGGAACTTCAGATAGCTAAGTTATCCTCATTTCAAACACAAACAGCTGATCTTTCCTCTCAAAAGAGATAAAAGTCATTCAAGGGATGGTCAATCCTTATTTTGACACTGTTCTGCTTCTTGCAATAAGGTTAGGAATATAGAAAGATAATGCAGAATTTGACTATCAATAACACTAAAATACTGCGTAATAGTCCAATATACAAATATAGTACAGCGCATAATGTGATATAAAACAAGTTTAATTGTGCAGTAAATTTGCATGAATATAGGGTAAAATTCCCTGAGTTCAATATGAGGATAAAAAGTTGATGTTGTGCAAGCAAAAGATTGTACATTTGGAGGATTTTGATATTTTGTGATAATCATTTTTGGTTTCTTTATCTTAATGGAAGCATTATCTAATGTGAGAAAACAAAAGGCTATGTGACCAAATTAATTATCTTTTAATTGTAGTTCATATTAATATATTTTCTACTTATAAGTTCCAAAATGATGCCAAAGTTACTACTTGTCAGAATTAAAAAAGCACTGTGTTTGTCTTGAGCCTAGTGTATAATTATTTAATAGTAAATAATATTAAACAAACTACATAACTAATAACATTACACAAAGAAATGATAGCAAGTCTTACCCATTTGTTCTTCTCAAACTATTAAAGGCACATATTATATTCTTGCATATTTCCACAAGAGAGCTGTCTCTCATCTCTTCCTTGGAATCAGAGATGCCTTCATTATATTGGTATGACATTGACAAATGAGCCTAAGAGATATAGGAAAACGTATAAGAGAAACTAACATGAAAGGCAAACCTGTTCACAGAAATAGAATGAGCTACAAAATGTATTGTTGCACCAAAGGTCTAAAAGAACAATGGATAAAGTGCTAGAAAGAAATGCACTACAAGATAATCCAAAATATGATACCATGATACGACCATAGATATAATCTAAGCAGCTAACATAAAAACAATTTGAAAGCCTTTGATGACAACATCATGATGATGACATGCATATATTTACAGTACATATGTCTTGGACGCTTTGAAATTGATAGCATGACCAATCATTATAAGAATATAAGTGATTTCTTGTTCTAGTCCGAGACATAATATGTATTGCAACTGACAACTAATCAAACCTATTTTTATTATCAAATGCAATTTACAGAACGCAGCTTTATGTCATCAGTTACATTAAGGTTCTAGTTCGTACCACTGGTGACAGGTTTGTGACCGGCGACAATGCACACTTGTCACAAACCTTTTTCCAGCTTTCTAGAATCATGTTACAATTGTCTGCCAGCAGGAAACAACAAAGTTCATTGACCATTTCAACTTCCAAAATTTTATTATTCAGTATCTAGAATCTGCAGCCCCATTAAACACTTCATTCCACTGTAGGCACATTATGTAATAATATAACAGATTGGTGTTATTATTTTTTATGAACAAATAGTAGTTGAAGGAGAAAACTTGCTTTCAAATCTTATTCTACTACTTATTTGACTAATAAACTTCTCACAAATAATGACTTGCGATCAATCCAGTAAAACAACATAATCTCAGCCAATAACTTGAAATTATCATTCATCAAAGAATTAAATAGTGCAGAGCTGATATGCCATAAAGGTTTAAATGCTATAGGGATAAAAGGAACCAGTACCCTATGTTATATCTGTTATATTCACATATTACTTATTAGTCTGTACTGCATAAAAAAAGAAAAAAAAAGAATCACCTGAAAAGCATGTGCCAAAAGCAACTGAACTATATCTGTACTGATCTTTTTCATAATGTTTTTCGTGCTGATGCTATTTGAAAAGCAATTTAAAACGCCTTTGAATGTTGCATCATCTTTGGGACTATTTGATCTTCGCGTGCAAACAGAAGGCTGCAGTATAAAGTAAAATCAAGTATAAGAAAATCCTAATTATCTAAAACAAAAGACCTGGGACAATATAAATAGTGTAATAGTGCCAACCGACTGACTTGCCTTAGTAGTAGTGTATTTCAAGAAATACTGCACAACTATTTCAAGCTTCCATTTTGGTTCACTGAAAACCTGCAAAATATTCTCATAATTGGCAAAAGAAAATCCTAAAATGATAACATTCCAGATCACTCATTCATTAACCAAAGAAAAATTAAAAAACCACAAACTTCAAATTATGAAAGTTTTCAGAAACTGAAAGCGAATGTAAATTAGGTTACACATTAATGTTCACATAATTACAAACAGAAGACTTTGTTCTTGAATTTCAAGAGAAAATATATAATCTTCTAACAACCCCGCACAAAAGAAAGAGATGGAACTAAGAAAAAAGTACATTCAGCTGACTACCTGAAGAAATGGAGAAAGCATATCCCTATCATATGTCAGCTCATCCAAAATAATATCCATCAACGGGGTTCTGCACCAAATCCAAAATGCACTAAGTTTCAGTAATTAAAAGAAATATGCAGAAGACTTGAATCACATAAATGAAATACCTTACACCATCAGCTCTGGTAGTGAGACCTTGCATGTCTGCTTTCTTCTTTGATATGTCAAGCTTCATAATCTATAAGGTTTTGTCAAATTAGAGCCTAAACTGGAAGTGAGTAATATTCATTTTGAAGGAGCAATGGTTATTTACCATTATCAGAAGCTTCTGCATAGCTATACAAGAACTCTTTCCAACTTCAAGTAAAGCAAACACCAAAGGAGTATTACAATCTTCAGATGGCTTTCTGAAAGAGTTCTCTGGACAACCATGACCGCTAATGACTCCAGTATGTGCCGGACAAAGGCAACATAAAATGGACAAGCAATCCTTCATTAAACTTTTATAATTTGTTCTTCTTGAACCCTGTAAAATAAATGCGACTTCAGCAATCTCACATCTTAAAACAAATTTACATAACAGAATATTTGTGGGGCATAGAGCTACAAATCTAAATTTGAAGATAATGTACAGCAGGATACTCATGATGTAACCTATCACTTAATGATGACACTATCAGTAATGAAAGAGAGAGAATTTCTAGCAAGGCTCAAAGCTTGAATGATGAGCATATACCAGAAGCATGTTGAGCAAGGACTCCCGAAGAAGGGCCCAGTTGATTGTTTCTGCAGTACAACAATAAGCTATTCAAAATTTCCAAAAATTTAATATGCACAAAAAATATGGATATTTGACTTACCTTCATACACAATGTTACGAGGTATAAAGTCTCCCTCAAGTAAGCTGACAAGATATTGAAATAATAACATATTCCTCAGGTGCTGCAACATGGCAGGGTAGAATCAAACACACAATAAAACCACTCTTGAGTAAAATAACCACATAAACTATTACAATTTAAGGGGAGTGGAAGACTACACTAAGTATGAAAATTTAAGTGACCTTTGTGTCTATAGCTTTAACTTTTGTTCCATTGGCTACTTCAACTAGCTCTTGTATCAATAGAGTAAAACACTGCAATTGACAAAGACAATTATGAAAGCTGAAATTGCAGTACTCCGGCTACTGAAATCAAATTCCACATATAAAACTAAAGAACACAGTGAGATTTGAAAAACTAGTATGCCATTAAGTAATGGAAGTAACAAACTAGTAAGTTCAAACAAAGCACAATACAACTCACAGAAAAATCAAGTGGGCCACTAGAGATTTCTCCGCCTGCTTTCCTCTCACTACAAGCAACATTTGAGCCAAGAAAAAATGGCGACCAAGCCTAACTCGCAACCAAATAATTGCAATATAAGTAATCAAAAAGAGAGCTTATAACTATAACCTACCATCGAGGATTCTAATTCCCCGAATTATTGATATTGTATTTGTTAATTTTACAAAACCTAGTTTATATACACGTGGAATCCATTCAGGGACAGCTGAGATATCTGCAATGTGCAATTTATTTCTAGAGACAATAAAACAAAAGGTGTAATACCTCGTCAACCACAACCAGTTCATGTGAGCCATCAGATGATGCTTCGGATACATAGACTCGAGGAAAACGCTATAGAAAAAAAATTGAAAAAAATAATAATAAATAATAGTAACATGAGAGTAAAGCGAATTAGTCAGAATTTTGTTACAGGTGAAACTGTGAAAGTGTAAATGTAAAGTGAATTAATTTTTTTATAAAACATTAGAACAAAAATACCTTATCCAACTCATTAAGAAGCTCATAACTTGACATCATCAATTCCAGAGATGTCCCAATCCTCAGAATTTGAAACACTGCCTCGTACATTTTGCTAATAAATTGAAGTCATCGATCAATCAATTATTTAAGCATAAATTAAAATAAAAAAAGAAACAATGAATAAAGCAATCAATTTTGTATGGTAATTATTATTATTTCAAGCATAGGGGAAAGAAATTACCAGGTTGGAGCAGTTCCATTTTCAGGTATGATTGAAGCGGCTTGAACAGCTTCAAGAAAAGCAATCCCTGCGATACGCGAAGAAAACAGTGATTAAAAAGTTGATGATTATAAGTAAAATCCTAAGTTCCAGCGGTTTCTCAGGAAACAAATAGAAAAAGAAAGCGAGGGGAAGAGGGAGAAAGAAAGCTTACTATCATCATTGGCGTCTTGAGAGTCTTTGGCTTCGGTAGATTCGAGAATTGCTAGAGTGTTCTCTTCCATGCCGGTTATGTTGCTTCTTCTGCTACTTCTCGCCATGCTTTTCGTCTCCAAAAAATTTGAACCCTATTTTGAATCTAATTATAGACATTATATAGAAAAGTTATTAAGAAAATAAATAAATAATCCCGCCAAAAGTTCCCTCTTTAAAACACTAAAATTGAAGATAACAAGTTAGTAACAAGTGTCGAACATGGGTTTTAAGAGTCAACCCAGGATTTCAACCTTACGAAAATTTTGTTTTGGGCTGGCTTCGAAGGCAGTGGCTGTAACTTACCTGGATAGTGTTTTTCAACAGAAATAACCCGCATCGATAATGCCTTACAAACTTAAGTGTGTTTAGGAAATAGACTAATACTACTCTTCCTTTTTTGTTTTTGGTAACGGCATGTCTGGGTCCTTTGCGCGTACCTCAACTAATTTTCAGGGTCTATTGAATACCTTATAAGTCTAAATGACATATCTCAACTAATCCTTGGAGGTCTATTAAACACCCTACAAGCCCAAAGAAATAGATAAATCATAAGGTTATTGTGATAGATGATCTTAAGGTTTAAACCTAGGACTAGACCTCAAAGTCTATTAAACACCCTATAAACTCAAAGGACCAAATAAATCACAATGTTATTGTGATAGATGACTCTAAGGTTTGAATCTAGGAACTCAAGTAAGGGAGCAAGGAAAGGAGTAAACCTCTTTGACTGCTAGGCCAATCCTTTGAAGTTTTGATACTACTCTTCTCACATGTCAAATAATGTGTTATCTCATGTTTTTATCTAACAACTCTTTATTTACCCATCAAAATCACATAAGATAATACATCAATTGGGCTAAAAAAATTGAGATATCACTTAGAAACAGTAATATTTATTTTTTACAAAATAGTAATAACGAGCCTTAAGGTAGTGTTGACTGTTGATATTTCAACTATTGAAGAAGGTTTTTTTTTTTTTTTTTGTTTAATTGAAATCTAAACCATTTCTTCTTTCCCACCATTTCCTTCTCACGAATAGGCCTTTAAGGCACCAAACGTTGCCGATGAAGTTTGATTTTGCCTCCGGCTATTGTCGAGGCCTCCGAGAATGTTTGTTGAGTAGCCAAGTGCTCAAATATTGTACACGTACTTGTCAATTGTTTCATTAAGCTTATCAAACACACAGTCAAATCAAACTATAATTGTGTATAAATGCCTAAATCATGTTTTCGTTTTCTCATTTATTTGTTAAATTGCCAATGCTTATAAATGAAAACCATATTAAGTTGGAATATTTCATGGGTACCTGTATCCTTTCATAAAAAATATCTTGTATACTGTAGAATACTCATATTTGTCAAACTTATGAGTTGTGTATGCACATCAGTTATGTGTGCACACTGGTTGTCAATCTTATGATTTGGCTAGTTTCTTTTATTGTATGTGTGCACATCAGTTATGCGTGCACACTGGTTGCCAAACTTGTGTCTTGGCTTGTTTCATGTCAAGTGTGTGTGTGCACAACAATTTGTGCTTACACTTTCGCTTCAGACATTTGCAACCAGCACGAGTTGCATGTTTGATAAAGTGAAAAGATATTATTTATTTTTGTCTCTTACTTTTAAGACTTTTTTACATGTGTCATAGTATCTTTAAGTGGTCCTAGGGAATAAAGTTTTTTTTCCCGATTTGCTTTGTGGTCCAAACCAAAAGAATGAATATTTTTCTTATTTGGACAAACATAGGTCAGCCTCTTATTGGCTAACATGGCACATATGTGTTGAGCAAGAAACCCTATACTATATATCATCTCATCTTACGTCTTTGAATCTAACCTTTTGATCTTTTATTTTAATATACTCTGAAATTTCTTAGAGTATTCTTTCTCTTAAGGTTCATAGGTTCATTTCCATTTTGTGCCAAAAACCTCACCATATCAAACATTGTATTGATGGCTCTTGGAATGTGGTTCCTTTGCTGATACCGATGCATGTCGTCAGTGCTTGAAGCTTGGTGGTTCACAAGCTGTTCTCGGGTGTGTTCCCAGTGTGAAAAAGGTCCAAGAAGTTGCTACACATTAAAGATTCAAAATGTGGTGTTAAGTGTAAAGTTGAACAAGGAGTTCTTTTTACTGTGTCTTAGATCAACTTTGAATATCATCTTGTAATGTAGTTTTAACTTAGAGGATTGCTTTGATCTGGATAAGGTCTCATGGATTTAGGGTAAAAGTGGATTTAGCAGAACCATGTATATGGCTATGTTCTTTATTTTCCGCACTTGTGTTTGATGTGGATAAATTGGAAATGTCTTAATCAACTTGGTAATACTTCCGCTACACTTAAAATGGGTAACCATTCTCTAAAGTGAGTTAACCAACAACTCTCTCTCCAACAAGTGGTATCAGAGCATTTCTTGATAAGTTGCTTCAGTTGATCCTTACCTATTTTGGTTGTTTTTGTGTGCATCTAAGTGTTATTGTGTTTGGACGAAATCTGATCAATGTTGTGTTTTTAATTTTGATCTATTGTGTTTCTGTGTGTGCACTACCGTTTGTTGTGTTAGTATCTATCTGATTGTGTTTTTCATCATGAGTTTCTTCACTGAAGGAGGATCTGCTCATAGACCACCTCTGTTAGAAAAACGATGTGTGCTTTTCTTAAGTCTATAGATGAAAGAGTCTAGTCCATGGTTGTGAATGGTTGGAGTTGTTGTTGAAAATGAAGTGTCTAGACCTAAACCGGTTGCTACCTAGACTGCTGATGAGTTAACTATTGCAAACTATAACTCTAAAACCATTCATGCACTTTTTAATACTGTTAATGTGAACCAAGTGAAAGTCATAGCTAATTGTGAGCTTGCTAAGGATGCTTGGGATAGGCTTCAAGTCAAGAATAAGGGAACTAGTGCTGTTAAAAGAAATAGGCTTAGAAGACTTATCACTGTTTTTGAAAATCTAAACATGGATGATGATGAGAGTATAATTGATTTTTATGGTAGAGTTTGTGATATTTCTAATAAATGTTTTGTTTTGGGAAGAACATATACTAATGTTGAACTTGTTAGGAAAGTGTTTTGCTCTCTACTCCGGAGATTTGTGTCAAAGGTCACCACTATTGAAGAATATCGAGATATGGATGCTATGGACATTGATGAATGAACTCATTGGATCTCTCTAAACCAATGAACTGAATCTGAAACATTGGGATAAACAGAAATCGAGCAAAGGTTTGACTCTCAAACATGAGGTTGATTCTGATCCTTTTGATGATTGTGATTTCAATTCGTTGGATGATGAAAATTGTGCTTTACTTACCAAGAATTTTGCTAAGTTTCTTAAGAAAAACATGAAAAAGCCTTATGATAGTAGTTATGGCTAAAAACCTTTTATGAAAAAGTCTTATGACCATCAAACCCTTGGTACCTTTACAAAGAAATTTTCAAAAGATAAAGAAAAGAAAACTAAAGGTATCAAGTGTTTTGACTGTGAGGGCTTTGGGCACATACAATTAGAGTGTGCTGACACACTGAAAAAGAAGAAAGGTAAGGCCATGGCTGCCACTTTGAGTGAGTGTGAGCATGATGATTCAGGTAATGATGAAAAATGTTCTTGCTTTCACCATGAACCAAGAAAACGGTAAGAGTGAGGTTTCAGATGACACTATTGATATTTATGCTGAGCAACAAGAGGCATATGATAAAATGTATGATCAATGGCTAAAGGGTATAAAAAAGTTGCAATTTCTTGGTATTGAGAATGCCACTTTGTTGAAGCAAAAGAAAGCCTTGTCCGAAAAGATTGTTGTTCTTACTGCAGAACTAATTGAGGCTAAGGTCATCATTGATAAGTTGAATGCAAGTTCTCTTAAGCTTGATGAAGTCCTTGGTCAAGGAAAATCATCAAGAGATTGGTATGATTTGGGCTTCAGTCCTGGTGCTAGCACATCAAAAGTTGGTGCAAGCACGTTTGTGAAGGCCACCAAAACTTCAATTTCAGGTACTACTATATAAGAGACTAGCTATGAAGGTATCAAAATTCATTCCTATTTGCCATTTTTGTAGAAAGAAACGTCACATTAGACCCAAATGCTTCAGGTTTATTACTTATTTGAAGGAAGTTCTTAAAAACCATAGTTTTGTTGCTAATGTTAATCATAATGCTAACAATGGTTTTTCTTTCAAAAGAGTTTGGAAACCTAAGGTTGATGTGAACTGTTTTGTGTCTCATACCTCTTTGCTTGAATTTCAAAATGATCTTTTGTATCTAGATAGTGGTTGTTCAAGGCATATGACAGGTAATAAATCTCTCTTGACTAAACTTGAATCGGTTGATAATGGGCATATGTAATGATTCCTTTCTAATAGTATATTTTATAACATATACTATGAAAACATACATAATTAGCATATGAAAATAGTTGGACCCAAATTTTTCTTTACATACAAAATATAATTCTTTACATATATCAAAATAACAAGTACAAAAACTTAGCAATGGTGGACAGTAATGTCAATTCTCTCTGCTTGTCGACGTCCTTCCAACCGCTGCTCAGTTATTTCCTGCAAAAACATGGAAAAACAACAGGGTGAGCATAAAAATGCTCAGTAAGTAAATCCCTTAACTTTTCTTCTTCTTTGATTCTTTCCTTACTTAATTCTCTTCTTCTTTCTTTTTCTGTTTCTTATTCTCACTGTTCTTTTCTTTCTTTCTAATTCTCTCTGTTTCTTTTTTTCTTTCTGTTCTTTCTTTCTTATTCTTTCTATTCTTTCTCTTCTTGCTACTCTTCTATTCTTTCTAACCATAATAAAATTCGTGGGAATATGCATAAATGAAATGCATATGCAATAATGCATAAAAAATGCATTTTATTTCTTCTTTCTATTTCTTTTCTTTTCTTTTTCTTTCTATGATTTTCTTTTCTCTTCTTGTCTTGCTTGCCCAAGCTTCTCTTTTCTTTCTTGTTTCTTTTCTTCTCTTTTCTTTGCTTGTTCAAGCTTTCTCATTCTTTCTTATTCTTTCTTTTCTTATTCTTTTCTTTTCTTATTCCTTCTTTTCTTATTCTTTCCGATCGGACTTGGTGATGTATGATTCGAACCTTGGCCGTGTGAGTGAGTACAGTCCTCATCTACATGCACTCTTGCGGACCGTACAAATTCTTCTTTCTCTTGGCCACTCAATTAAGGTGACATGCATGTAGGAATTCTTCTTGGTACAACCCTCATCCACATACACTCTTACGGGTTGTATA